CTTTTGCTATGGAACAAAATATGTATTTTATTTGATGATCTTATTAAACTATGTTTTGTTGTTTTAATTAGATGCTGCCTCAAAGTCGAATAAAAGCTTAACCAAAATGGATCTCATGTAACTTTTTGGAAGATTAATTAGGCATTCTTCTGACTGATTCAAGAGAAAATCCACCAATATCGATGTCGTTTAATGATAGTTTATTTAACTTCAATCAACTGTTGTGTTTTTTATTTATTTGGCATTTTTCAGTAGTTTTCTTTTTACTTATAATATACTATTAATTATACTTTACAAAATATATTAGTTTTTGATTTGGAAAGTGTAACTTTGTTTGATTAATTTTTCTAAGTTTTTGTAAAATTAATAATTTATTTTTAATATATGAAATTATACTTTATGAACTTTGATTTCTCTTTATACCTTCACTTGCCATCTTAGGTGTGTATTACATATCATAGCATTTTTATATAACTTTTACAAGAATATCTAGGTAAATTTACGTCTCTAGGACTTCTGAATAAGACGTCTCTAAGTTTGTTTACGAGTTTTTATATTTTTAATATAACATATCCAAAAAAAAGCTTCATCAATAAAAGATTTTTTTCAACAGTAAATTATTTGTATGTTATGTTGAACTAAGTTTATTTAATTTTTCTATAGTTTATATTGTATTTTATTTTAATGGTATTATTTGTTTAATGATGAGAATGTTTTCAAACATCATTTGCTTATACATATATTATTGACCGTTCAAATGCATTTTTTGGCATCAATCCTGCAATCCTGAAAAAGGGAGTAAATCAAGGTGAACGAAGAAGACTTTATCAATAAGTAAAATTTTGCTGTCCATACTGCAGAAGTTTGCGAGATTTAATAATATTTGATTTTACCATGTTAAATTTCCTAATATAACTTTGAAAAAACAATTTTTTTTTTAGTTATTTATATCTCATTGAAAATTTTCAAATGTTTTACCATGATATCTTTTTTTTTTTTGAATTTGATTCGTTTTTAAACTCGAATATAATTATTTAATTCGAATATAAATATTTATATAACATCATATTTGTGTCGCATAATTAATGTTTGCGTTTTTTTGGAACCTATTTATATTCATTTGATTTATCTGAGTAACTGTTTCTATTTATGTAATAATGTAAATAACGTAAATTGAAAAAATTTTTTAAAGTATTGCGTGTTTTTGTCGCCTTAAGCATATAAACAAGTATATATGTTGATAGATATTTGTAATTGAAAAAAACCTAATTGAAATAAAACTGAATTAAACAAAAGAAAAGACATAATGAAATTAGCCAAAGATTTTAAAAATATAGTAAAAATATGTTTAGTACCAATTAATAATGTACAACATGTTGTACAATAAATGAAGGAAGCATTTTTGTAAATTAATCACGGTATAACGCCGTAAGTCACGCTGTTTCAGAAAAATTACAGTACGTAAATTAACGGCGTTTTACCGTGATATACTCACTTTCTTCCACCGTAAAATAATCACGAAACAATACCGGCACTTATGGATAACGGTATAATAATATCGTGATATCCACGGTAAAATTTTAAAGTGTTTATATATATATATATACATATATATATATATATATATATATATATATATATATATATATATATATATATATATATATATATATATATATATATATATATATATATATATATATATATATATATATATATATATATATATATATATATATAAATCTACCATTTCTATACTTATCTATTCCTTACCGATCATACCTATACCTATTATTTGTTTACTTCAATAATTTTACGTTTTATTTTTACGTAAATAGTTTATTTAAAAATTTTTTTTCAACAGCAAACAAAATAACATTTGCACTCTTTCAGCGTACTTACAGCTTATATGAGATTTATAATTAGGTTTGTTTTTCTCTAAAACGCATATCATTGATAGCTAATTGATTTAGTGCGCTGTCGCCAGTGCCGTTATAGGGGATTAAAGGCATCCCCTTTAAAAATTTTGAAATTTTTTTATTCTTTTTATATATAGCAATATATATGGCAAAAATTTTATAACAGTTTTGCAGTTTATTACTATTTTATAATAGCAATATTATTATATAACAGTATAACAGAACTAAGAAGATTTTAGAGCATTTTAAACTATAGACTACAAAACGCTAAGGAATTGCCCATAATCTACACAATGCTAATTTTTATTTTAAAAAAGTAGAAGAGATCTTAAGTTCTTTAGGGTGGTTATTTTCATTGAACTTAAAGAGCTATATAGATTTTTTGTTTAACATAAGACTCTCCGAGGAATAGTTTTGATCATTTTTGTTTTCTACAACTGTAAAATTTAACTTTGAGTAATTTATGGACAATCCCTTATTTTAACGTTTAGATAAAAGATCAGTCAAAAAGCATATAAGGCCAAAGAATAATAAAGTTTAATACTATTTCGATGGTTAAATAAATTATGCTGTTATTGCGCACTCATTTTTGATTGTTTAACGGGAGCGTGGTAAAATAGCTGTATAAATAGCTGGTACCCTCAAACGCGTCCATTTTTTATTTTGACATCGCTTTTATAAAGTTTCTTGATTTCCGTATTTTTCAAAACTACAATATATGCATGAAGGAAAGTTGAGTGTTCAAAAGCTAGAAAATAAAAAATAAACTGTCAATTTTTATTATATCTTTTTGTTTAAAGTGAAAGTTAAACTTGTTTAAAATGCTATAATTTTTAAAAAATTGCGAGTTTTTTACTGTTAACATATCCTGAAAAAATAGGTAATTTTAAGATAAAGAAATTAACATACAGTATAAATGCTCATAAGTGATTTTGACATTCTCAAATAAATTATTTAAAGATCTTTCATTTGATTTATATTAGGCGATACTTTAAAAGCTCCTATATGTTTAAAAAAGTTGCATACAGCTGCTACCGACAAATAACTTATTATTGATAGCGCTATTTTTTTTTTATAATTATTGCCATTGTTGCTTTTTATTTTTTTTCACTTTACACGGACTACAGACTGCAAAAAATATTTGCGTTTTTATTAATTAATATAAATGGCAATTGAAGACTTTGCTGAATGGTGACATTCAGCAAAGTCTTCAATTGCCATTTTCTTCAATTGCTGTACAAAATTTTTTCTGAAAATAATTTCAAAATATCCAAAACTTGCCTGAAATTAAAAATTGAACATTGAACCTAAAAATGTATCTAATTTTTAAAATATTCATTAACAGTATAAGATACTTGCATAAAAAGATAAAAATCTATAAATCTACCCAGTCATGGGCTATTATTGTTAATTTTTTGCAGCAACCAGTTAAATATGAAAGAAAAAGAAATATTTCCAAGATATACAATATTTACTTGAACATCGCAAGTGATTTAAATATTGCCTCAGAAACACTGCATAGAATAAAGTGTGATTCATGCAAAATAAAAAAAAGATGCAATACGTAGTTTACAAGAACAAAAAAAACAGAAAACTGCAGCTGAGAGTTCTTTTTTGAAAAGCTCAATGACCCGTAAAAAGCTAACAAACAAAATAAATAAGACAGTATTTTTAACTAAATTTGCGGAAATTCAAATATTTTTTCAAGTATTCGTTAAATTAGTAGAACAAATTTGCGAAAAAAATATGACCTGCTCATAAGAAAATGTGTTTATGCTGCTATTATTAACAATATGCTTGAGGAAAGTGTCTCATTTTTGTAAGAAAAAGTTTCTGAAACATTACCCTATACAGAACTGCAAGAAACACCCCGCTCAGTCTTTGTAAAACAAATGACATATGAGCCAGGTGTTTTATCATTGGTTCAGGCTGGTGAGACACTTTTTCATTGTGAATGTGCAACAGTAGTATTTGACACAACCACCGTTTTAGACAAACATGTGAACGAGTTTCTTCTTAGTACCTATCCTCCGCAGAGATGCTAATCCTTATCAACCGCTTACTTGCTGGAGGTACAGAATTTGACTTTGCTACTTGTATAATGAGATAAAGATAAAACTGGCTAAAGGAACTGATATGGTTGCAGTAACAGTTCTCAAAAATATTGCTAAGCTTAGGTAATCTTTTATATGTATATCTTTCATTTTTTAAATTTTATTTTAGATTTATTTTCTTGTGAGCAATTGTTTCTTTATTGTTTTCACTGTTTTAAAAATTTTAAATTGCAACTTTTTGGCGCTTTAAAAATCAGGTATAGTTTTAAAGGCAATCTGGCAGCATTCAAAAGCAATATTAAAAAAGTTGATGTTGCTCCAGGACTATTTGTTAGATATGTTGGCACTATATTTCATGTTTTGTTCCATATGGCAGGGTGTGTTATCACATACGAAAGACTTATAAAAACCTTTCTTGAAAGATAAGTTTTTTTAGATAAACATTAAGTTTAATAGTAAGTTTTAATAATATTAAGTTTAATAATAAACATTATCATATCCAAGATTTCATATTAAAAAACATAAACTACTGATTAGGGTTTATGGTTTGATACGTGGGTGCGATCGTAATTTTTTTATAAATGGGGTATAATGGAGTTATCTTTATAAATATAAAAATTGTTATTGCATAAAAATAGTTACATAAAAAGTTGAAGAAAAATAGTTACATAAACTTTGTTACCTAAATGGTCACAAAAAAGGTTAAAATGTTTAATTATTAAGCCACAAGCACAGCAGTTTCTCTTCATTATTATTATCTTGTAGCCATTAATAAAATATTTAATAAAAACGAAACCAACAAAATACCTAACATTATATAAAATATAATAATATAGAATATATAAAATGGAATGTAATATAAAATAAAATAGAATATATTATATAGAATAAATAATAATATAGAATATATAACATAGAAGAATTTGGAAAATAGAATTCCATTTCCATAGATGCCGATATTGTTGTAAAAAAGTGTCAAGACCACCACGGCAATAACAACCAACCCAACCAAAAACCAACAAATGTTCTAAAAACAATTATAATTGTTATTTTTTGTTATGAAGAAAATTTTTTAAGTATTATATAAAAACATTAAAAGCTTTTTAATCAAAGATGGAAACGCCTATCTAAATATTAAATGGGGTTGCGAAGAATTTTCTCATGCCGCCAAATCCCTAAATTAAGGAAATCTTTTTTATTTATTGCAGTAAAATCCGGGAATTGACGACATCTCCATCTATCAAACACATGAGGACATACTATGAGGAATAAAAAACTAACTTAGACTAAAAAAAAAAACCCTAATCTGTCTATTACCGAAAGATGGGAACTGAACCATGTTAAAAAACTGGCAATCAACATCACTGCTATGCGCAGATTATAAAATAGTCACCAAAGGTCAGCACTGAGACTTTCTAAAGTTTTAAGTTTTTTACTTGGGTCCGCCCATATACCCGGTAGAAACATATTTTTCAATATACTTCCAGCTAGAGATGTTATTCAATATACAAAAGAAAAAAATATTAAAAGCATCCTGCTAATAATTGATTTTGTCGATACTTATTTAAAATTTTGGAAAAATTCCACTTAGGTAAAAACTTTAATAAAGCCATCAAACAAAATATAAAAAACACCCAATCCATTGTCATGAACAATGGATATATGAGCAAACCCTTTAAAATAAAAACACAAGGAGACTCAATATCCCTCATGTTATACTGCCTGGTAATGGAAACGCTTGCACTAGAGTATAGAAACAACAATCTCATAGACGACATTCCACTGCCTGGAACAAAAACAAATCTAAAAATTATGCAACATGCAGACGACACTACTGTGTTTACACGAAGCGCAAAATCCATTAAGGAAATTTTCAAAACCCTAAACGTTTATAAACAAGCATCGAGTTAAAATATAAACAAAAACAAAACAAAAGCTTTAGCTATTGGATGCTTTAACTGGATACAAAAACACTGCAAAAGTTCTCCAACAAAAATAATTTAATATAAACTGGTCAGAGCGGAAATAAAATTCTATTAAATACATTCCAGGCAGATCTTTCTCAAACAGGCAGACTAAAATGGCATTTTACAATAAAAAAATTTCAAAACAAATTCAAATATTTAGATACCGAAACATCTCACTAAAATGCAAAGGGACCTACATTAACAGACTTGCTCTGTCAAAGGTATGGTACGTCGCAAATGCATTTCCTATATCAAAGCTCGATATAAAAATACTGATAAGAGAAACTCTAAAACTACCTGTAAAAGAAGGGGGGATGGGCATTAATGATGCAAAAAATCAATCCCTTGCCGTCAGAATGAAATACATATTTTAAATAAATGAAATAGACCAATGTCACAAGGGATAATTTCTACAAAATTTTATTTGGCAAACTAACAAACTTATCCAAAACTAAAGCCCGCAATAGCTGTTTCTCACTGTAAACAACACACAAAAATTTTCTAAACACACTACCCTATTTTTACAATGACGTTATTGAAAAAATTAGAAACAACGCTGAAATCTTTAAAATCCAAACAAAAACATCAAAAAACATTTATGCTCATATTTCTCAACCAGGAGAAAATAAAAGTCTAAAACTAATTCAATTAATATGGGAAGCAAAACTCCAAAAACCACTCCCATGGAAACAAATCTTGGAGAGGAATTTTGACACCTGTGCACAGGAAACAAGTAAAAGTACACTATGGCGAATCTTTACAACTCCTTTCCCACCTTAGAAAAATTAAAACAGGGGCAATTCCACGGAAACACATATTGAAAAAGATGCAAAAGAGTTAAGGACACTCTTCATCCGTTTATCTTCTGTACTAGGGCGAGAACTATGTAAAAATCTATAAAAAAACATTTATGATCCACTCTTTTTAATGAACATAAAGAACCTGCCGAGAAAAAACTCAACTACCCTTGCAAAAGTCATAACTACTCTAACTCATATTACCACTTATGAACTTTGGAGATGTAAAAACTCAAAGCTAAAAGAAAATCATGATGTTCCTGTAAAAAAAGAAGTTGAAAAAATTATGAAAAAAATTAAACTCATTTGGAAAATCCAGTGTAATAAATATTCTAGAGTAATGTAGAAAACAATGTAGAAAAATTTCAAAAAATGTTTTTGGTAAATAACGCAATAAGCAATTGCAACAATCAAGACTTAACATTTACTAATTAAAAATAATGAACTGTAGGTTTTGATTAAAGTTACAATCATTAGATAAACGGATCTTCAACCATAGTTAATCCATAATTAAAGTATGACTCTAGCCGGAGACAGCCAAAGTTGCGTGTTTTTATTTTAAGGTTGTGGGTTAATCGCCACAACAATATTTTTTAAACACGTTTAAACAAATTTAAATCAATTCCTATGAACAATGAAAGAAAAAGAAGACAGATAATTATTATTTTACGGAAAACTTTGTAAATATTAATTTGTGAATAAGCACGGACTTAAAAGACCAGAAAAAAAAAAATATATATATATATATATATATATATATATATATATATATATATATATATATATATATATATATATATATATATATATATATATATATATATATACATATATATATATGTATATATATATATATATATATATATATATATATATATATATATATATATATATATATATATATATATATCATAGCTCGATATAAAAGTATATCGAGCTATGATATATATATATATCATAGTATTCCTATATCAAAGCTCGATATAAAAATATATATATATATATATATATATATATATATATATATATATATATATATATATATATATATATATATATATATATATATATATATATATATATATATATTAGTCTTATTTAAAATGAAAAGATTGGTTAATAAACGTATTTATTACTTTTTATAGTATTACATATTATTAATGTTATTTTATTTTTATTTTTAAAAAAATAAATTATATACAATTTTATATATTTATACTATCTTTTTTACAGTTACAATCAAAAAGTTTTACAAATGTTTTTCTGAGTGTATAATGTAGAAAGTTTACATTTATATTATTTATATACATTTTTTTTATATTTTTTGATTACTACACAACAGTCTACCTTCTGCGGCCTTCTGCAAGGCCGCAGAAGGTAGACGGCATTGTAGATGGCGTTGTTGTTTTTGAACCGTTTAAGAAAAGTTCTGCTGACACGAATTTCTTTTAAATATTAACTTTTAAAAAACTTTTAAAAGACAGCAATCTTTTACATATTAGCTTTTAAAAGTAATACATATTAAGTAACTTAATTGTATATCATAGGTATTGTAGTTTATCCTCCACCAGCTAAAAGTCTTGTGGAGGCCACATTACCAAGGCCCGCAGAGACAATTTTAGCTCCCTAAAACGAGTCATAACCCGGTCTACAGACCAAGAGTAAGGTGAGTTTTGGATAAACGAAAATATTTAAAAGTGAAAGGCAGAAGTAGTCGCATTAGAAAGATAGCATAGAGAAAGCGGACAGAATTGCGCACGATGTTAGAATGTTCAAAAAGCTGTTAGTCGATCCAACAAAGAATCGGAGAGTTCACTTAACATGAACTCTTCCTCAACTTTCTTTGTTGTCATTGTATATCATAGGTAATTATATCGATTGTATATCATAGGTTAATTTTGATGCAACTAATAAACACCAATATAAAATAATAAAAGTTACATACCGAAACTCTTTTAGTCTTGCTTGTAGTTTGAACTGCTTTATAGCTTTATTGAAAGTTTTGAAAGGTGGCGCAAATTCACGTCTAATAGTTATGCTGGCGCTTTATCTTTTCCTGCTTTGAGAATTCAAGCAAAGACGCAGCTAATTATATTTAAATCTAACTTATCGAATGACAACTTAAACGTGTTGGCATGTAGGTAACGCGACTTAAATTTTAGTGAAAATGATTTTTTCACTAAAATTTAAAAGAGCAAATACTTGAGGAGTTATAAAACAATACTCTAATCAACTCTTTAAAATTGCAGTGAATAATAATTTGTCGGTAGACTTGTTTTTAAAAACCAAAATTGAAATTAAAGGTAGCATACTGCACTTTTAACTAAAATTTGTCCGCAAAGTACGCGTCTTGGTGCAAAATATACTAAATAATATCCCAATAAAGGAATGCCAAAGTGCATTTATCATGCTTGGAAAACATCTTGCGACCGACAGAGGTGAGTTTGACTCTATTTATCATAGAAACTTCATCGACGTCTTTACCAAAACGTCGATGAACTTACTTTCAGATTGAAATATATTGGTCAACTGAAAAACAATACTCTAAAAGCTAACCCAAACATTTCAATCTTCAACCCAAACTTGACGAATTAACTGAGGCAAACAATGAAAAAAAGGAAAGCAACAACATAGCAGGTGTATGCACAAATGGACTGGCGAGTATATTCTCTAGAACTCTGGTCCAAGTCATTACTATTGTGGAATGGTGGTTCTCTCTAAATCCAACATTTCTTTAAACGAACTAAAAATGGACTATAACGTTAAAGTATTAAACGTCATAGTATAATATTAAACTTAAAATAGACAATAAAGGTAAAATATTAAACATCATAGTAAAATTGATGAGCACAAAATGCAGGTGTTGAATATTTACGCTTCTATTGTGCCAAGAAAAATGCGCCTTTTTTCGGTGACCTTGGAGACTTCTCGCAGGAAACAAGATTACTTTTGGCAAAAGATTTATTTATGATCAAAAGTCTGCCTCTGGGTAATTCCACGCCAAACGGTTGAATTTCCGAAATCTTTCCTGCTCGACCATCTCCGATTTTAATAAAATTTTTTCAGTATGTTGTTAAACATGTTTCAAAAACAATATTAAATTTTTATATTAAGGTGTTTACTATTTTGAGATTTTAAATGATTCAAAACTTCAATATCAGTCTGTATCTAAAAACTGCATTTTTGGGGTCTTATATTTTCGTAATTAACGGGTAAAATTTGTTAAAAACGTGGTTTCTTAGTAAACTTAAGGTAGAGATTAC